GTTACCGGGTAATTAATTCTTATTTTAATACATTTTATTTTATGCCCACCTGACGTCAAGTTTGAACAACGTTAAATTTCACCGGTGACTTTATTTTTACCTGTGACAGACTGGGATAATGTGATCAGCATGTTAACCCAAATATTAATTAATATATTGTACTAGCCGATACACGTCTGCAAAACAAAGTGGCCGCCGTTTGCGGTTAACGTCAGTCATCTACCGTTAACCTTCAGTTCTATATTTTGATGCCAGCTTAACTCGATTCCACTGAACATGCTATAGGAGTATTTATTGTATACATTATATATACTGTATTTTTATTTATTTACTATCAAAATACTGCATTGTACGATTTTGACACGATATTGTACGATTTTAGGAGTTTGGGGGTAAACAGGTCTGTTTTTATAATTGAAACATAAAAAAAATTTCATATCTGTGTTGTTTACTTTCTCATATTTACTTAATACAATATTTATTTTTAATAAATATTTAACTATTTTAACTTGACCTTTTTGTCCGTTGAAAGCAAAGAAGAAATGCTTGATACTAATACAAATATTACAAATCTCATACAACAAGTTTTTAGTGTTCTAGATAAACATTTAAAATCTTGAATATGTATTTATGCAATGTACAAAAAGGTTGGGAGTTTTTTATATCTAATAATTTACATACTCCCTTACATAATTTTATAAACAAACACCTATCTGTATTTTCAGTTCGCTACAAAACATCCGTTGTTAGAAACATACCTCTTCCTTGAATATATTCAACTGTTTTTCAAGGTAAGATGAATGTTCTTGTGCCGTTGCTCTCTCTTGAACCACTTTTGCTAATTCTTCTTGAATTGATAGCTTTTCTGAAATAATTTTTGTAAGGGACATTTCTAGTTCACTTTTGCTTTTCTCAGCATCAGTCAATTTGTCCTTAGTATCATTAAAGTCTTGTTTTTCTCTTTTCAATAAATTCTCCAGATCTTCATATTTGTTCTTTAAATTTTTATTTTTATCTTTCAGTCTTTGCAAGCTTTCTTCAAGGACTCCCCTTTCCTCATTAGTCTTCTGTATTTGTTCATAGGAAATCTTTTCTTTGTGCTCAACCTCCAAAGCTTTTCTCTCTATCTGTCGTAATGCCTGGTCTTTCTGTTCAAGCTATAAAATAAAAACAATGAAAACCCATTGAAAAAGAAACTATCCGTAAGTATAGAAATTACATTTTTACTAAATAAGTTAATTGTAATACTATTTATATATATTAATGGTCAACAAATTTAACTCCTTTGTGCTGAATCACATTCAACCACTTGTAAAGTAATCTGAGTAGGCGCCTATTACTTTTGTCACAATTAAAAATAAAACAAAGTTTCTCATATAAATCTTTTTTTTTCTCTTAATTTTTCATTATGAATTTCACCATATTTGGTTTCCCTTTCATTTTTAACCAATTAACAGGTTAAATATTGAAATTGTGCATCATTCTTCTTCTTCTATCTTTTGAAGGCCCACAATCGATGTATTGATCATTCTAGCTCCTATGTTTGTAGAGGGGGTTCGCAACGTAACTGTGCATGGCTTTGCATGTCTTATATTTGAGATAATAATTCTTCACTTTAGTGAACCACTTATACCTTGCTGAGTCTGATTTTAATGCAGACATACTTTAAATGTCCTATAAAAAGAATTTTTAAAAATCGTTGGAATTTAAGTTCTAAAAATTTATTTCAAAAAAAGATTTCCCAAAATAGTAAGATTTTGCAAGGGTTGAGATTACTAAAGTCATTGACTTTATTCATTTAATTGGTGGGGCGCCTCTCTTTTTTTACCCCCACTCTGCTCCACACTTCCTTTAAGCTTGAAAACCCTAAAATGCTAAACTAAAATGGTTACATATTATAAAAGACTAGGCGACCTGCGGCGTAGCATACGCCGCAGAATTGCTCATAGGTGAGTGAAGACTTCGTGAAAGACACAGTTGTCCAAATGGGCTATATACTGTCTGTAGAACAACTGTTAATGATATGTTAAATCTATTTTGTAACACTTGGAGCCACTATGTATTTTCTCAAAATAGCCGGACTCAGTGTAAAAAAAAAAAGTGCAGCAGGTTAAACCCTTGATATAGCCCGCAAAACATTGGTGACAGCAATGCGTCAACTTCCCATCTATTAAAGTTACTTGACAAAAATGTTAATTCAAGTTAAGCACATTTATTATACCCCTTCTCCCCCCCCCCCCCCCCCCTCCCCCCCCCCCCCCCCGATACGTCACTGCACACTTTTAATTTTACGTCATGAACTATATAAATATAGCCGACCCGCGGCTTAGCATACGCCGCGAGTTTGTCGGGGTGTGCGCATGGCTGGCAAGCGAGAGGAAAGGGAAGGGAGGTTTCTAAATATAGCCTGCGTCGTCTTCTTGCTTTAGTTTCGAAGGCGAATTATGTTATAAAAGATAGCCAATGATTTAGATTTTTCTTATTTTAAGGTTACTAAGTTTTATTTAGTGCATTCAAAATTACATTTATGCAATATTATCTGCGATCAATATGTAATAAATCAAAATAATTTGACAAATTCTTCTTATGGTGTTAGAATTTTTAGCATTTGATCCTAAAAAATGCACTTCTTTTGAATACAACTGAAATGAGTCACTCCAACTTTAAAAAAAAAAAGAAGACCTTTCAATTATCATTCTATAGTTTTGAAAAATATAATCAGCCTTATGTGTTGCAAAAGATGGCATTATATTAGAAAGTGCCAGATTTACACTAAAGAGAAAGGTGCCGTATCATTAGCCATTCTGTATTCAATAAAGACACTGACAATGTGTGGGATATAAAAAGTTGATGCCATAATTATTATTAATTGAAACCCATTAGATCAGTGGTTCTCAACCTTCCTAGTGCCGCGAGCCTTTAATACAGTTCCTCGTGTCGTGGCGACCCCCAGCCACACAATTATTTTCGTTGCTTCTTCACAGCCGTAAGGATATGTGTTTTCATATGGTCTTAGGCGACCCCTGGAAAAGGGTCGCGCAACCCCCAAACGACCCACAGGTTGAGAACCGCTGCATTAGATACACACATTTTTTAACAGACCTGTTTATTGATATGAACAATCTCCAATTCCTTGTTTCCAATAACCTCATCCAGTCTTTTGTTCTCCATTTCAAGAGAATCAATTTCTGTTGAAGAAGTAGAAATTGTAGCACACAATATAAAAAGCAGTATAACTTGAAGATTTTGGAAATAAAATGTTTATTTAAAAGTCAGTACACAGAAAATATATATATATATATATATATATATATACATACATAGATACGTATACATATATATATATATATATATACATATATATATATATATATATATATATATATATATATATATATATATATACACATATATATATATACACACACACATATATATATATACACATATATATATATACACATATATATATATACATATATATATATATATATATATACATATATATACACACATATATATATATACATATATATATACACATATACATATATACATATATATATACATATATATATACATATATTTATATATACATATATATATATACATATATAAATGATGAGACTACATTAAATTAATTAACCACTAACCTTTCTTTAAATCAAGAATGTCATTATCTTGTTTCTGTAGCAAGTTTTCATAGCTAACAATTGTTTCCTCTGAATAATTAAGACCATTTTTTAATTCACACAACTGTTCGTGGTAACCTTAAAATTAAAAAAAAAATCATCAGCAATATGGAGAAACTCCTTATCCTAGGCATGTTTTATAACAGGGACAGGCAACCATTTTTTCATTTAGCATTTAGGGGTCTCAAGCAAAAAAAAAGTGGGGGAGTGGAGTGGGAATAAATGGAGAGGTGCTCCACCAATTATTTGCAAAGGGTTCAATTTTTGCTATTTTTACCTTTAGATATGCTGTGTTACGCACTGCCTTCTATAATGAGAAATTAATCTCTTATTTTAATTTTATGGCTCGTTCAAACAGTGCATAACAAAGGACGATACCATAAAGAAATACAATAGCAAAAATATGACACACAAAACAGTTGCTAATTACAATTAATAAGATTTATTTAAGTATTAATACAATTACAAAACAAAAGAAATATAACTACAAATCATCAACTTACAGAGTATGGCAGATCTTGTACCGGTACACAGTTAGTACAATGTGCCAATTAATAATGTACAATGACGAATGCGAATAAACACAAATGAGTCCACAAAGAATAATAAAACTTGTCTCCTAAAATTAAAAATCTCTATCTGAATCTCTATCAGTCTCTCTCTGTTATTGCTCTCTTTGCTTTTATAGTGGGTTCTACTGAAAAATCTAGGCGTATTCCGGATTGTACTAATAACTAGAATATTCCACAATTCATTATACTTTACAAACGCTTTCAAGAATACAAGAAACCGGACAAAGATCAAAGAGATTAAACCACATCCACTAAGAATGCGGTGTCTGCTATATTGGCAGCACTGGGGGAAAGGTGACGTAACACATCCTACATAACAGGCTGTTACAGTACTTATTTCACAAACCAACATTTTTTTTTAGAATTACAGACCTGGTTACACCCTAAATAATACAATATAGTCTCGGAATAGTGCTTTACCATCTTAAAATCATACTATAGCATTTTGTAATAGTAAAAAATAAATATACAGTGCGTCGCATGTCAAATTAAGGTCACTTCTCAAAGTCAAAGTAGATTACTGACTTTTATATACTTATATATCGTGCACTATTGCACCCTAAATAATACAATATAGTCTCGGAATAGTGCTTTACCATCTTAAAATCATACTATAGCATTTTGTAATAGTAAAAAATAAATATACAGTGTGTCGCATGTCAAATTAAGGTCACTTCTCAAAGTCAAAGTAGATTACTGACTTTTATATACTTATATATCGTGCACTATTGAAAATAAAAAGGAGCCCATCATTTTGCCACTTTGATATAGGAAGAGGTGGTGGTGGTGGCAGAGAGGGAAATAGTGGTCGCCTGCTAAAGTCACCAGAGCAAAAGTGTGGGTGGGGATTGGGAGGAGGTTGAGCCCCCCTCCCAGAATTTAAAAAAAAAAATGCAGGAGTTGCTTAGTGACTTCTAAAAATAGATTTCAAATGCCACTTACTATTCCTTATAAAATATGTCAGCATGCACAACAGCACCCTTCCAAGACAACACCACCCTCTTTCCTCCCGTGTACATAATATAATTATGGATGGTCCTAAGCCAATCGTATTTCTCTGTCCATTCACGGCCCATCATAGAAAGGAGCAAAAGCCAACAACCCAAAATGTTTTATTTATTATTATTTTTATTTTTTTAAATCATAAAAACTACCAGAACATCAGTATGAAAATTGTAGTTGTGACATTTGGGTTGGCTGAGGGGAGATATTGGGATATAAATTCACCATCCCGACTCCTAGAAGAGTTGATTGTGTTCACGCACAGTGTCGAACCGGCCGGGTGTCCTTGGGTTGGGGCGGCCTCCAGCGGAACCCGATCAAGTGGACTAGAGTGGGGGCTGTCCTCGCAAAGGTACATCTCCAACGTGTTGCTTCGCGGCCTGATACTTGGGTTGGGGTGGGGTGGGGGGGGGGGTGATTTGGGGGCGGACATAGGGAGCTTTAGCTTAACGACCCGTTGAGGCCATTTTCTAATGTGATATTTCAGTTCTGACAGGTCTTGGCATAAAATGGTCAAAGACATCTCAGATCAAAATCGTACAATGTATGACAAAATCAGACAAAAACTCTTTTTGTCCGGGCTTTTGAGTGTCAGCCGAACACGGTTTGTTAAGTGGGTCAGGGGGGTGGCATGTGGGCCAGTGGCTGGTAAGTGGGCCAGGGGGAGCTTTAGCTTAACGACCCGTTGATGCCATTTTCTAATGTGATATTTCAGTTCTGACAGGTCTTGGCATAAAATGGTCAAAGACATCTCAGATCAAAATCGTACAATGTATGACAAAATCAGACAAGAAAACAGGTATGGTTCATTCTAACCTGACCCATTGCTTTTAATCAACAATAAATGAAAGGATGGAATGAAATAGTTAAACTCAGGCAAGTCATAATTTTGATAACTCAAATCATTAATTTCCTTACTGATTAACTATGGCCCAATTAAGTCTAGGTCAATTTTCTAACTTTAAGTTATTGTACAATTTCAGCTGCAGTTTTCTTAATTATAAACACATTCTAATAATTAATAAACCATTTTGTAGGTAGTTGAATTATCAATATAATATAAACTCAAAACATTTGTAAAATTAAGTTTTGATAGGAAATTATTAATTGATAAATTAGTATTTTCAATAGAAAAACAATAAAAAATATATTGATGTGCCAATGAGTATAAATTTAAAATTTTTTAATCTTTAACCCACCAACCGTGGTCAGCAGAAAAAAATCGGCCAACATTCTTGTTCTGTACTGTGGCGGCCGATTAAAAACGTGGTCTGATAGCAATTTCCAATCCAATATTTAACCGGAATTATAGCCACTTCCTTTTATTAATAATTAAATCATCTTTCGGTTCAAGCTGTTTCGTGATAACTTGAAAATAAATACTTTTTAATTGGAGTTTTATATCGATGGTTTTTTTAAAGCTAAAATGGTTGACGCTATGGCTGGGCCTTCAGTGCAAGAACTAATAGAAATATGTTTGAAAGCTTTTTAGGAGAGGTTTTAAGTGATACTGATGATGATTTTAACATTCCCCATGAACATATCAGTTGAGATTTTTCTTCTTGTGAATTTCACTCTAGTCTTAGTGATACTGAAGTAGGCCTGCTGAGGCTACTTTTAGACTTTGAGCCAGGCCCGGAGGTTGGGCAAGGACTGACTGAATTTTAGCCACAGAAGCTACAGATTATAGTTCAGAACTAATAAATTTTATAGTGAAACAACCCAAATCAGTTCCACAGTCCCTTTTCAAATGTTAACTAGTCAATAATAACTATTTTGCCTGAGATTTTGTATTTTGTACTTGGTTTTAAAAGTGGTCCCAGTTTCTTATATAAATGACCTCAAATTATTAAAATTGCTTTCAGTCGAGGTTTAATTGCAATCAAAATCTTATCAAACTATACATTTTCTTTAAGATAGATAAACGAATAGGCTACAACATTTAGATTTGTGTTTTAGTGCAATATAAAAATTAATGATGTTACGAGCACTTCAAAGCAAGACATTTTGTCAATTTTTTTTCTCTTGAGAACTCCAAGGTCAAGGACACTGAGCAAAAAATTTTTACAGGGTGGGCAATATGGCCAACTTTCTCCCCATCCATTTACCTTTCTAAAAATATATACTTATAGGGGTCTTGTATCAATATTTCTATGTTATTTCATGCAATTTCAAATGGCACACAAAACGCTCTGAAAAGCTCCACACCACAGAATGATGCATACCACAGTTTGTCTGTTAAAGCCTTTTATTTGGTGGTTTCCAAATAGTATATCAAATATTAAGAAAGTGGACCAAAGAACACAGAAATTGAAAATATTTACACATTCAATCACTTATATGCCTTTAGTAACCCTGTCACTTGTTGCCCTCTTGAGGAGATACTGATCTTCCATAGAGCGCCTCTCCAGGTGGGGGATGGGGAAAGCCCACCAGATATGGAGGGTACCGGGGAAATAAAATACCCAGGGCGGACCAAAATCAGTACCTACTGCCTAGTAGGAAGTGGAGGGATCCACAAAGGCTAGGGACCCGACCCAATACAACGGCAGCTACCCTGAGACCTGCAAGGGGCATCCCCTCCGACGGTTGTGCGCAGGGCTGACGACCCTGTCACTTAAAAAAGCTAATGTTATGAAAGCAAGACCAAATTATAAAAAACGGACAGATACTTATGGATTTCGACCCATGCCTGACCACAAATATGACACATGGATTGCGACTTGGAATGTACTTAGTTTATACAGAGCAGGTGCCTTGGCCCGCCTCAGTGATTAATCGCTCAGATATAGAATCATGATTGCGGCACTGCAGGAGATTAGATGGAAAAGACTCAGTTATCCTAAGTACTAAGGGGTATACAATATTCTACAGTAGATACAACACAAATACATTAGGGACAGGGTTTGCAGTCAAAAGAGAGACAGTAAATGCAGTCATTGGGTTTAAACCAGTGAGTGAAAGATTATGCTCCATAAAGATTAGAGGAAAAATGTTTAACATCACGTTGATCTGCGCACATGCTCCAACAGAAGATAAAGATGAAAGCATGAAGGAAACTTTCTACGAAACACTAGAAAGAGTGTTTGATGAGGCCCCATGCAATGATATCAAAATAGTCCTTGGCGATTTCAATGCGAAAGAACTAGTCTACAGACCAACAATCGGAAAGGAAAGTATGCATGATGAGAGCAATGACAATGGAACACGTCTTATAGACTTTGCTTCTGGAGAAGGAATGATAATCAGTAGCACACTATTCCATCATAAACAAATACATAAAGCGACATGGATATCTCCAGATGGATTCACCCGTAATCAAATAGACCAGGTACTCATCAACCGGAGACATGGCTCAGCCATATCGGATGTGAAAAGTTGTATAGGGGCGGACATACAATCAGACCACATGCTTGTTAGAATCAAATATAAGCAAAGAATATGTAACATCCACAATAAAAAAAATAAAAGAGAAAAACAGTACAATAGTCAGAAACTGAGTAGGGACCCAAAAATTACTGAGGAATATCAACAGAAGATTGAAACTCTACTAGAATTATCCAAAAGAATCAGGCAGCAACGTTGATATAACCCAGCAATGGGAAAAGATGAAGCAAATAGTTACAAGTGTAACAGAGGAAACGATTGGATTTAAAATGTCAGTGAAAAGAGCAGGATGGTATGACGCAGAATGCAAAGAACTTATAGAACGAAGAAACAAAGCTCAGCTAATGATGCTGCAAAGGGAAACAAGAAGAACACGACAATTATATAATGAAGCAAGAAGGGTGGCCAGCAAAATTTGCAGAAAGAAATAACGTGTTTGGGAAAAATAAAAAATAGTAGAGATAGAAGAGTTGGCAAAAGCAAGAGACGTTAGGGGAATATACCTGAAGATAAAGCAGGAAAAGAATGGCTTTCAAGCAAGATCCCACATGTGTGAAAGCGCCGATGGAGAATTGATCACAGAGAACAGTAGAGTACTAGAGAGATGGGCACAACACTTTGAAGGCTTACTGAATGGCGCAGGTGGAGGAACCAATGAAGATTACGCTCCGCCACAAGGAGGACCGGACCCACTGGTCAACCAACCAACATTAAATGAAATAAAAGATGTAATCTCCACCATGAAAAATAACAAAGTTCCAGGAATAGACCGTATCCTTGCAGAACTCATAAAGCTAGGTGGTAACGAACTACATAGGCAAATACACGAACTTATAACCAGAATCTGGCAGGAGGAAGAAATGCCAACTGAATGTGACACGGCACTCATAATCCCAATTCACAAAAAAAGGATCTAAGCTGACCTGCTCAAACTATAGAGGTATCTCCCTTCTTAATGTAATGTACAAAATCCTCACAAAACTTATAGCGAGAAAATTGGAAAAGTATAGCGAACAGATCCTAGGGGACTATCAATGTGGATTCCGGCAGAATAAGTCAACCACAGATCATATTTTTACTAGAAGATGTCTCCTGGAGAAATGCTACGAATATAACATCGACATACACTAACTATTTGTGGATTACAAAACAGCATACAATAGTGTAAACAGGAACTACTTATACAATGCTCTACAAGAACTTACAAGCTTACTCGGCTCATACACATGACAATGGCCAAATCCAAAAGTAGAATCAAGGTACAGGGAGAATACTCTAGGGAGTTCACAGTTAATCGGGGCCTCAGACAAGGAGACTCACTATCATGTATCCTGTTTAACATCACACTAGAAAAAGTTATTAGAAGCATACACGTTAGCACCAGTGGAACCATAACAAACTACTTCCAGAGAGATACTACAGAAGAACGACCAAGAGGCACCTTATATAGCCAACCATTGCAGTACCTGGCATATGCAGATGATATAGCACTACTGGGTAGAAACCGTAATGACATAATTAAAGCATTCAGGGAACTCGAATATGCCTCAGTCAAAGCTGGCCTTGATATAAATGAACCGAAGACAAAATATATGATAATGTCAAGAAACTCCCATGCTGTCATAAATTTGAGAGTGGCCACATTCAAATATCTAGGGGCAACTATAAATGAGCACAATGAGATAATGTCGGAGGTGAAAGAAGTCTACAAAAGCTACTGGGAAACAAAAACCTATCAAGGGGAACAAAGAAGACAATATACACCACCATCATAAGACCTGTAGTAACGTACGCTGGTGAGACCTGGACCCTCATCAGAAAAGCAGAGAACCTACTCAACACATGGGCGAGGAAAATCCTCCGCAAAATATATGGACCAGTGATAGAAAATGATACCGGTATCTGGAGAGTATGTACAAACCAAGAACTCTATTTGTACAAAGAACCACCCATAGTCACAATGATAAAAAAAGCAGACTATGCTGGGCAGGTCATGTTGAAAGGATGCCAGAATGCAGAGCGGCCAAAGTTATATACAGGCAGAAGCCTAGGGGCAGACGACTCACCGGTCGCCCAAGGATGAGGTGGATTGATGATGTGGACACAGATTTACACCAGTTGGAGACGGAAAGACATGGATCGCTCCGAGTAGAAGGATGTGGTGGAACAGGCCAGGGCCCTACATGGGATGTAGTGCCACTGATGATGATGATGTCACTTGTTGCCGCGGTAAGTACAATTTTGTAACTAGCTAGGAAATTAAATAAAAACTAATTAACATTTCGTTTTTTTAAACATTCTGCCGATAGTATGTATTTTGACTATAAACATCCAGTCAGTAAATTAAAATCTTAAAGCAAAACGGGAACGGAATAATATAAATATTTGACTCGATTTACTATGATACTAACATTGGCGCCACCAGCGGCTTGTGGCTATAACGCCAAGCCGCTCCCAGCAGCTCATGGTAGTTAACCAGTTAAGTGTGATTTTATGTTCCATGAACACTTACTTTTCTGAAGTTTTGTTTTTTCCTCTTTTTCAGATTCAAGTGCTTCTATAAGTTCTTCAGTCCTTTTCTGCAATCCTTCTACCTTCTTGTCCTGAAAATTGTTTGATTTGAAATAAATTTTTACATTAGCTCTTTTATTGAACAGCAGTTTCTGAACTAACATGCAAAGCCATCTTAAATATACATAATAAATTGTGATTGTCAGCATAGTTCTAAGTAAAAAAATATTGTTCAGAATATAAAAGTATTAAGGGGGATAGAAGAAAAACATTTTTATAGTTGTTTCAGTATTTATAAAAAAAACAGCAAACCACAAAGCAGTCTCACACTGGCAGTTAGAGTGGCAATCTCTTCGTTTACTCGATCCAGCTCATTTTCTTTAAACGTCAACTGATCTCTAAGCTCTAATGTTTTTTCTGATAACTTTTTCATAGTGACTGCATTTGTCTTAAGTTGTTCATGCAACTTTTGCTCAAGCTGTAAGGAAGAAAACACTGAGATTGATAAAAATAATTTTCCTTTCAGCTGCTTCACAATTTCTTATGACGTTTTAAATCATTGGAATAACTCAATGGGATTTGCTGTTTAATATTTCAAACAAATGTCTCAGTCAAAACTTTCTTCAGACAGTAGAAAAAAATTGTTCTTATGAAAATCTAGCAACTACAAGTTGATATGTTTTCAATATAAAAATTGTAATAAACTTATCAAACATACCTGTTTCATCTTTTCAAGTCCAAGGCACTTCATCTCCCATTCTTCTTCCCTTTCTTTAGCCTTTCTTTCAACTAACTTTTTCTCCCGTTCCATCATCAAAAGTTTTTGGGAAAATTCAGCTGCAGCTTCCTGATGCTGACTTTCCATCTTCTCTTTCTGTGTAAAATAAATTGATTATGTATCCTTTTCAATAGCATATACATATAACTTAAAAATCATCTAAAATTGACCTTGGCCTACAAATAAAATATATTTTTTTAAAAGCTACTGGTGGATTTAAACAAATTGCAAGCCTGGTAATAAAATCAATGCAAACAGTATGATATTCTATATATGATGATATTAGTTATTCAAGTTATTGAATTTCAAGCCCATGTTTTTATAAATAAACGTATTATATTCACCTGATTGTTTAAAGCAATCAGCTGATTTTGCAGCTCAGCAATAGCTTTTGATTTGGAATCTTCATCAATAGAATATTCCTTCTGCTGTGTTAACAAAAAGTTGCACTGCATGTCCAACTGCTTGAAACATTCTTCTTTTGAAGCCAGTGCCATTCTCACTTCACTTAGTTCCTTTACAAGTTCATCTCTAGACACAGTTAAATGTTGTAACTTCTCTTCAGTTTCTTTGCTCTTCTCTTCAGCATTGTGAAGCTGTTGCCTGCATGTGTTCAATATCTTATCCATTTCCCCGAGTTCATATTCTGTTTTCCCTTTTTGCATAGTTATCTCATTTACATGGGCATCTTTGTTCATTAACTGCATCTCTAATTGGGTCACATGGACTTCAGTTTCCTTTTTAAGGTCCCTCTCTTTCACAAGACAATCTTGAAGATCCTCTTTTTCCAAAAGTATCTCATTTATAAGAGTTTCCTTGCTAGCTAATTGCTGCTCTAATTGGGCAAGGTGGAATTCTGCTTCCTTTTTAAGGTTCTTATCTGTACTTTCCTTTTTAAGTTTCTTCTCTTTCATAAGAGAATCTTTCAGTTCTTCTTTTTCCAAAGTTATTTCATTTATAAAAGCTTCTTTGCTTTTCACTTGTTGCTCCAATTGCTTCAATTGAATTTCAGTTTCTTTTTTAAGGTTCTTCTCATTTTTAAGCTCTTCTTTACTTACTTCGATTTCAGTTTCTAGCTGAGTGATTTTTGTCCTCAGCTCATCCATTTTAATTGCATATTCTTGAACTTCAAATTGAAGTAGGCTATCTGTAACATTATCCTCTGAACAAAATACCCCTAGTGTAGACTGGCGTTTAGTTTGAGCACCAAGGACTACATTTTGTATTGAGGTATTGGTTTCATTGACATTTTGTATCTGCAGTTTTCTGTAAGCAGCATGCAGTGAATAAAGCTCAGCTTGAAGTGAGGCCATTTCATTTGAGAGGACTTCAACTGGTTGCTTATCTGTTGCAGTTACTTCTTCTAAACTTAACGTTCTTGAGACGCCGCTGCCCTCAGCTCCATCACACAGGGACTCTGAGGTCACAGAACAAACACTCATATCCAGTCCGGGAAGTTTCCTCTTGTTGCGCTGAGGTCTGGTCTTGGCTGGTGTATCTACTTTGCTTTTCATCTTGGCAAGCTCATATTTCAACCCTTCTATTTCAGCCGTGTAACCATGAATAAGCGCCTGCTCTCTCTTGAAGAAATCCTCCTCCTCTCTCTTCAACTTGCTGTGAAGCGCGGCATTTGCCAATTCAGAATTTTTCAGCTTTAAAGACAGATCGACTGTTGGAATGTTTTCTGAAACACCTGGCATAGTTTCAAGTTTAAAATTAAACACCACCTCACTGTCTCCCTCAACATCCTTCTCCATATCGTCTGTGTTTGACCCTGATCCATTAGTCTTTTTCTTCTCTAGCTGTCGAACCATATCTGTTATATTCAATTCGCCAGCAGGAGATTTGCTCTTTCCTAGAGACTGTGGCAATTGTTTGGGCAAAATTTCATTGTTTAACAGGACATTATCATTAGCTGCTTTCAGTGATATATTTTCCTGTGACAAATGAAAGTTTTCTTTTTTCAGCATGTTGAGGTTTTCATCATAATGCTCTATCAATTTCTTTGCCTCCTCTAAATCACCTTGGGTTTGCTTTAAACATTCCATGAAATCATGAATTTCAGAAGTCAACTGTTCATTTTTCAACTGTAAAGTTTGGATCTTCCCTTCCATTTCTAATGTCAGACACTTCATAGATTCTAGATCATTGTTAGATGACTCCACCATCATCTCCTTTTGCTTCACATCCTCTTCAGGCAGTGATATCTTCAGAGCTTCTGCTCCTATTGAATCCTGACCTATTTTCTTGGCCTCTTCTACTGGCTCAATTATGTCACCAGACTTTAAAGGTTCCATGCTGCCTTGAATATGACTTGGCTTGTCTGAGAAAGTAGAAGACTCCAGATCACATCTGTACTTGCTATGTTCATCTATTTGACTCATTTGATCCTGCAAGCGCTCAATCTCATCTGAAATTTTTTTTAAATGGTCATTAATTAACTCAAACAAATAAGCCTTGAACGTTTTTAAACAAAAAAGTGAATTTATATGAAGGGTTAAATTAAGCACTCAATATTCCAGCAACAAAGTAATGTTTAGTTCTATGAGTTTTGCTCAAAGGAATGTCTTATGGAAAAAAAACAATTCCATTCAAATATGCAATTCGTTTTTATAAACATTTAATATTAACATTTAAATGGAGACCGACACATCTGATCGCATGGACCAAATCCCATGAACAACCCAACAATACACTATTACTAATTTTCTTATTTTGAAAACTGTTAGTAGTTACCTTGCAATTCTTTGCATTCTTCCTCTAAAGAAGAAATTGTTGAGTCTTTATTTTTTATCTTTTTAAATAAATCCTCTTCCAAGGTTTTGATTTCAGTATCTTTGAGTTTTAAAGATTTTTTCATTTCCTCTGTAGCTTTTTTGGAGTCATTCAACTGTATTTGAAGAGCTTTAATAGTAGAAAACTGAAAATGAAGACACAAAAAAAGGACAAATGGATAATAATTATTACCTTACTTGGAAACCAAAGTAAAAAGCAGAAGTTAACTCTTTCAGTTGCATTACAGCTATTTTTTATATCTCAGTGGTGTTACAGCCAAAAACAGACGTAAGCAATGTGCCATTAACACTGCCTAATGAAGGTAACTCTTTTAATTAAAGAGTTAAAAATAGAATTTTTATAAACAAGAATGTCAAGCTCTTGTTTCCTTGGGTTCTGGAGACTGCACTTTATTTTACAATTCTTTCTATTATTTTAAAATAGCGCTTTGTTCACAGTTATCTACGTTCAATGGCGTTTTCCTTTCTAGAGTGGCTTCATATTGAAAGTACGTCTGCTGTTAGTGTCAACAGTGATGAATTTGATGCAGAAATAGATAATGGAAATAAAAGTGATGTTATGATTTTGAACTTGTTAAACATCTTGATATCCCAGATGTGTCAGATGATGAAGGCGATGTTGATAGATCTAACAAGTCTGACCATTTGCGTGCAATTGACATTCAAGAATTTGTAGGTGTAACTGTAACAATTATCAGTAAATTTTTTCTATGACTGGATGAAAGATTGATCCTTAATTTTTTTAAATTTTAGTCAGCAACTTAATGGTCAAAATGAAGCTAATTTCTTAAAGGCTTTTAAAATTAATTAAAAAAATTAATCATCATTTAGATTGTTAAAAAAATTGCTAAGTTTTTTTCTTAAAGATCGCTTAGTTTGTGTTATTAAAAGAACGTTAATTTGTTCTTAAAGTTTATTGATTTTGTTCTTAAAGATCATTCAGTTTCTTCTTAAAGATCATTTAGTTTATGTAGATCTTTTAGTTTGTTATTAAAAATCGCTTAGTCTTTTCATTAAGAGGCTTAGTTTGTTCTAATAGATATTTGATTTTTTTCCTTAAGATCGATTAGATGGTTCTTAAAGATCTTTTTGTTTGTTCCTAAAGAACATTTAGTTTTCTGTTAAAGATCGCTTAGTTTATTCTTACAAATCATTTAGTTTACTATTAAAGATCATTTGTTTTGTTCTTAATGATCATTTAGTTCATTCTTAAAATCGCTTAGTTTGTTCTTTAAGATCGTTTAGTTTGTTTTAAAGATAGTTTAGTTTTTTCTTAAATGTCACTTATTTTGTTGTTAAATATGGTTTAGTTTGTTCTCAAAGATTGTTTAGTTTGTTCTCAAAGATCGCTTAATTTGTTCTTAAAGATCACTTTATTTGTTTTTAAAGATCTTTTAGTTTATTCTTAAAGATCGTTTAGTTTGTTCTTAAATGTCGCTTAGTTTGTTGTTACATATCGCTTTTGCTGAGAATTAGATGACCGAAAACCTCAGTCACTTTCGGCCTGTTGGCCCAAAGTCTAAGTCAATTTCGGCCGAAACCGAAAAAAAAAAGTTAACTTTTCTCTTTCAGTCGAAACCGAAACTTGGCAGAAAGTGATAAAATGGCCACTTTCGGCGCCGAGCCCGAAGCCGAATTTCGGTCGGTCTCTAATTATACTCACTTGATTTTCTATTTTATCCGTTTGAATTTTTGCTGTTTCCTTAAGCTCTGTGATTTCAGCCACATGTTTTCCATACACTTCTCCTGCTTCAGCTATAAGTGATTCTAGCTCTTCTATTTTTCCATCCTAAAAGTTAAAATATTAAACTGTTACATTTTCAATTATATGAGGCCTTAATATATTTAGAACTAAATTTAAACAATTATTTTTATAAAATGGCCTTAACAATTTGAATATAGTGTTTTCAGTTAAAACATGAAGACAAATTTTACAACAGGCTAAATAACTAGTAGACAACCTTGAGTTTGCAAGATTCAGAGGCTTCTTGTAGTTTTCTTGTGAGTGTCTCAATTAGAACAGAGTCCCCTAGACTGGTGGAATCCTCAGCTTCCTATATAAAGTTAAAACAAAAACATCTGATAAAAATGAGTTTTAAAAAATGTCAGCTAAAAGAGTTGATGATTAAGCTCAAATGAACTAAACATACCACATTCTTTGATGCCTTCAAATTTGCCAGTTCTTTTTGCAGTTCTGCAATTGTGGCTTTTTGTTCCTGCAAAAAGAAATTTGTATTATATTGTTAAATTAATTTCTGTTCAATCACCACCAGTTAGAAGTATTTATAATGGCTTAAAAAATTGGCAATCATGTTATTTAGTTTGCAACAAGCCACCATTATGTCAACATACTTCAACTTTACACTGCTCCTGATAGTATAGCATACTCGATACCCATTCATCATCTTCATCTACTTTTCTCTGCATACGCTGAATGCGCTGTTCATAAACTTCCATTATTCCTTTGACACGTTCATCTGCAAGTTCATTGGTCTCCTCCCTGGTCTCTTTGAGCAGAGCACTAAAAATAGCAATAAATAAAAGAAGAATTTCAACTGAAAGCACATAGTTCTTTATTTCATTGTCTCATAAAGCATATAGATATAGTGAAACAACTTACTTGTAAGTCTCTTTAATATTGTCCACTTGTTTCATCAAGGTCTCTGTGACCTCCTTCCTAACACGGTAGTCAAGATCACTAGCTAAATTCATCTCCTCGTCCAACATTTCAACAAGTCTTTCATTTCTACGCTCTAAAACCTGTAATTAGTAGAAAATGCAACAAAGTCAGGTAGAACAAAACAGTAACAGTTGAAATTTTGTAATTTCTAATTTCACTTAAAAATTATTTCATGGTTGGGGAATAAAAACTTCAATTTTGAACACAATTCTAAACTTATTACTTAATCTTTTTAAGATAAATGTCAAACTTGTCTTTGCGTTATCTTTGTAAGAGAATAAGAAGCGACAATCATGACAATAATAAATTAATTAAAAACTCAATGTATGGTGATGTTGAGTGAGCAGAAGTTAATTCTAAACTCAACAGATAATTTTTCTGTATCCTAACACTTTTTAGCAACAATTTTTTATATGGCAAATAGTCATGTTTACAAGATTAGATAAGTATAGAAAGAATGGAAAAAAAAGAGACATTTTTAAAACAAAATCTATATCTTGGGAAGCTATGTGTCCCGATACTACAATGTATAATCCCTCAATGACACAGCTATTTTTTAACTATGGTTATAAGTCATACTTTGATATATTGCTGCATTTCCTTGACACTCTGTTTACCAGTGTCTTTACTTTCACTGCTCCCTTCGAAAGCATCCTCTGAATCATCATCATCATCATCATCATCGTCTGGGAGAGGATTATCTTGAGCCTCAAGTAACACTTTTTCTGAGGATTCTGGTGAAAAAATAATTACAAGAAATAAGTAACTTCAGATGTGATGTTGAATACGTTTGCAATAACAAAATATTTAACCGCCTAACTGTCACAGCAGCCGATCATCTGCCGTCATGAATGCTGCTATGATGTTATGGCCATATTATCGACCTCTACCTAAACAAATATTGTAAATTCAAATCAAAAGGTTATTTAAATGAGGATAATTCTCAAAAGATTAACTTCCTTTTGAAAGGAAAAAAAAAAGGAAAAATTCAAGATGCTTTTTTGTTTTTTTTTAAATTTAAAGACATAGTTTTTGAAGTTGATTTTTTGTTAATACGATGGAGACAGTTTTCCCGCAAAATAAAGTTTAATTTATTTGAATTACTTCTTTGAAATACTTTGAAAGTGATTTAGAAGATTCTTTTGTTGCCATTGCTTTTGGTAGTGACAAGATAGCGGAGTTATAGTTCTAACAGGGAATATAGTGGATAATAGGGTACTTATGAATTTAATAGGCATAAAATAAAAATAAATATTTAGATTAAAAATGAAACCTTATTGAAAATTCTCATTAATATAATAATTTTATAATTTATTTTATATAACAGAAAGAATATTGATTTCTGTAAATAAAAAACATTTAGATGCTAAAACAGGATTCAGTCATTGTGAGGCAGATAGAATGCAGAATAATATATTATACTAACTGGAGAAAGGTCAAGGTAATTTCACACAATTCCCTAATTCATACCACATGATTCCTTGTCCAATTTACCATCAGAATATGTATATTTATAGGCTGCGACTATTTGCACCCGGGTACCAGAAGTGAGAGGTTGGAATTAAAAAATGATTTTAAATATTATTGTTGGGTTTGTAAGAAAAAATGAGGTATCAAATGAAAGATAATTGAATACACTTTATGTTTGTAAACTTAATTCTTCAGTTTAACTAAAATGTTAAAATGGACCAGGACACGCATCGCTGCCATTCACCCCATGGTCCCATTAAACCAATGCTATTCGGATGTCATTTGTGGTAGTTTATTTTAGTTAAACTGAAGAAGTAAGTTTCCTGCTTAAGAAATCTGTTTGTAATACAGTGGAACCTCTCATAACGAGTTTAATTCGTTCCAGACGCTTACTCGTTAGGCGAAACACTCATTAAACGAAACAATTTTTCCCATACAAATCAATGTAAAATACGATAATGCGTTCCATGATGAAAAAATACTAATTTTTCAAAAAATTTTATTAACATTTATTAAAATAAAATTACTTATGAATTGTTAAGGAGTGTAAAAACTTGAAGTACAATTTAGATTTGAAACAAAAAACGTAAAAATACGAATTCATGACAAATAATCCTTTTGATCTAGAAAACTTTCTAAAGACATTTGTTTTTGCCGACGCTTCAAAATTTGACGAAAATGTGTCACAGCATTATCATTGAATAAATTTGTAGCACGAATAGCCATCTCCCAATTAGGGTGATGCTTCTCAATGTACGATGCAACCGTTTCCCATGCTTTCAGCATTTCTCTTATTGCGCTAGAAGATTGTTACTCTGCTACTTTCTCCTCCATTAATGAGCTCTCCTCCATAATTTCTTGCTGTGAAACACGCTGCAACTCCATAAGCCATTCAGTGGTCAACTCTTGGCTGTGCTCTTTCACAAGCTCTTCAATATCGTTGTTGTCCACCTCGAGTCCCATGATATTGGCTAATGACACAATCTCGTTAACTGTAGACTCCACAGGTACTGTTTGACAATCACATCCAACAACACTCTCTGGCCAAAGTTTTTTCCAAGCAGAAGTGAGGGAAAAAGGGACGTCCCCTTTCTGCGTAAGTCGTTAATTTTTTTAGACCATTGAATGAAGGCTATACTTATACTTTTTTTTTTATTATTTAGTAGTAAACACTGTTAGTTTAGTGATAGTGAACAGTAGTAAAAATAAAACTTATAAACAATTTATGAATTTAGTAATTGTGACATTTGACTTACACTGTCCTATATCTATAGCTATTAAAATAGTAAAACATTAAATTTCTCTCTTTTTTTTTTTTATCGCACCACTAATGTCATTGTCAGTGTTATTTTAAAGTAAAATAAGAGCCCTAATAATTTTCCTTGAAATACTTGTCAACAAGTATGACCTTTCAGTCACTAATGTCCTTATAATTTTGTTGAGAAGCATTTAATAAAAATAACTACAAGTTTTTGTTTTCAGGAATGATTGAGGAGACACGCAATGAGTTTGCGGAACACAACATGCATTATATTTCCTGTTGATAAACTACACTGATCTGTTGTGCCTTAGTCCATTTAGCCCAAATGACAATTTGTACATGAAAAAGAAGTAGTGCACTTATTACATGTTCCAATTCTTAAAGATTCCTCATGGCAACATTTGTTCGATGCATCGAAATAAACGTTACCTCAGGCAGAGGAAGCAAGAGAAGACTAACACAGATTACATCACAAAGCTCATTATGTGTTATTCAAGGACAAAAAGAATAAGACAGTAGTTGAAAGAAACATATCAATAATTCCCTTGTTTCAACATTGATTGTATCTTTGTGCGATGTGATTTTTCAACATTATTGGTGTTAAAATTTGATACAGTAACTAATTAGATTTTACAATGGAGTTATTGCTCATGAGTTTTCTGGCTCACACAAAAAAACCTGTTAATATGCTTTTGGGAAAAATGCATATTGCAACTCAAGTGATTCAAAAGTTGTGAGATAGAAATCAGAAAATTTACAACTGTCAATCTTCATTCCGTCATTACAACTCTTAGAACTTACAATTTTTTTTTTACAAGACCAAGAGTTGCATTTTCAGCATACAATAATACATGGGCAATGCCAAATAACTCTTTGGAATTGCATTTTTACATAGCTTAATTTTATGGTTTTACACACTTTTATTATGCTGAAATTCTTCAAAATTAGCAAATTATTATTTTTTCGACAAAAACAGAATACCGGGTAGATCAAAATACATCAATCTCAGAGAAAAGTTGAGGTCAGGAAAAAAAGACAAGAGGACCTAAAAAAGGATTGAAAATGTCCACAACAGCCTAATAAAAAGTTTTTATTCTAATCTGAATATAAATTTCTCATTTTTCATTGATATTTTCAATGTTTTGTCATTTTTCTTTGTTATTTCAGTTTTTTCGTTTTCAGTTGTTATGGGCTACAAAGGCAACCAATGGAATTTTTTTTTTTAAAACCTGTTTTGTACCTCCATTTCAATCCCAAATAACGTGTAGGTAAAAAAAAATCCTATATGAAGCCAAACAAAAATTTTAGATTTTCACCCACACCTCGATCATAAATTATTTAAACATTTGAATTTTAAAAAATACAAACCTTGTGTTTCCCAAGCTATTGAACCTCTTGGCATCTGAGGAAGTTTCTTTTCTTTTGGTTTTGGAGGATCAATGTATTTAACTTGTTTAGCAATGGCAGAAAATTTAAAAACTTGAAGGGTGTCATCAAACATCGACATACACTGGCTGACATTAACTATCATGGACGCTCTTCCACAGCCATTAAAGAAATTTTGCAGCAGCCTAGTCAGCTTACTGTCTCTGAATGGAACCAACCTTTGCTGATCTCTATCAAATAGAGAAGAAATTGATAGTAACTTTACTGTGTTAAGTGACAAACCAAATTATACCATTTAATCATTCGAAAGAAAAGAAGCATTTTTCAAGAAATAATCTGCATCAAAAGCAGACCTGTTTACCTTCAAACTCCTAAAATCGTACAAAATAATCCCAAAATCGTAAATACAGCATTAATAATAGTAAGTAAATAAACATACAGTCATATGATGTAAACAATAACTAATCACATCACTTGTCTCGTGAGATCGAGTTAAGCTGGCGTAAAAAAAGTAACTTCCAAAGGTAGAAAATATTAGTTTTATAACTACCACAAACTGTAAATGGGTGAAAGGAAAAGGGGGTATTAAAAATCGTACAGCCGTTTTCTGCTTTCTAAAAATAGATTGCAAAGGCCCTCTTAGATCCTATAAAATATGTTGAGATCTTCTTCTTCTATATCTTAAGGGCTCACGATCAATTTATTGATCTAATGTTGCTTCACGGAACAGTTGAGAATGCGTTCTCTAATTTTCTTTGTCTCCGGACTCATCGCAGTTCAACCATAAGAAATAATTATCACAAACTTACGTCATACCGTCCGGAAGCAAGCATATGCCAGGGGTCATCTATATGGTATGTACATAAAAAAAGCCAAATTTTTTACCCCTCCCCTTGTTGCATGTGTGCTTTTGACGACAATCCTCCTCTTTTTCTATTTGAGGTTGCTGCTGCTAGCTCACAGGGACGTTGCAAAATATTACAAAATGTTTTTCATTTTATTTCCAATGTAACATCTAGCAGTTGTGCAAACAGTAACTCACCTGAGTTGCAGTTACTAGATGACGCACATTTATATTTATTTTTACCCATCCATTTATTTTGTTTGGTTTACAGACCTGTTTACCCTCAAACTCTTAAAATCGTACAATATCATCACATAATCGTTCACTATATTCTCTTTATAGAAAAATAACAGGCAGCATATGTGGTGTATACACTTCAAAAACATACAATGTACGCCAAAATCGTAAGAGTAAACAAGTCTGGGTTTATGTATTCGCTATTTCAAAGTGTACTTGTAAGAATTTAACACAGAGGGCCTGCTGAAATCTGAATTTGGCATAGGCGCCCATAAAATAATTACAGATGGTCCACAACCAATCGTATTTCTCGATCCATTCACCACTAGACGTAGAATGCAAATTAGAACTAACAATGGAAAATGTTCTTTTTAATTATTGTTGGTTTGTTGTTTTTTTCAAAGCGGAAGAACTCCCAGAATGTATATATTTCACACCGGACCCTTAAAATCATAGTCCTGACAGGTCTTGGTTAACAATCTCAAAATCCTACATTGCATGCCAAAACCGTACAAGTAAACAGGTCTGCAAAAGCAGCTGAAACACCTTAGGAAATATATTGATTTTTTTTTAAAATTACATATTTTAAAGTAAATAAAATGCACAGAATGATTTTTTATTGCAAACCTTCTGAAACATGTATATCAAACAATCCAGGGGCTTGAAGAGTTATTTTTTCATTTCTTCTGCGCTTAATCACACCATTCTTTATGACTAACAATTTAATCCAAGAAAATGACATAATCTTATTAGTTTTAAAACAGATCAAATAGGCATCAACAACATTAAAAGAAATTACTTGTGCAACTGATTATGACGCAAAGTTTCAATACATCGTCCCAATGTCATTAGTGAGGCATTGATGTTACCAGCTTCTTTCAAGCGGTCACCTGTAGCTTGAGTTTTGGAATACCTCTCAGACCCAGCAAGATCACATAAGGACAGCCTGTATATATATATATATATATATATATCAAAAAACATACTTGCTCTCACATTCTTTATATAATATATTTATGGAGTGTATAGAATATGAGCTTTGGAAACCATTGATAAATGACATGGAAGGCTAAATACAGAAACTGAGGGGGGAAAATTTATATCACTAAATAAAAAGATATATTTAAAATTTACACAAAAGTGAAATAATAAGAAAACCCTACTTACATGCTCACTCTTGCAACATCATCTACTATACGCACAATTTTTATGTTGAAAATGCAGTGACTAGGAGAAAGATAAAATATATGAAACATTTATGACACAAACGAATAGCTTGAAATTGGTTGCAATTACCAAAAAGTGTTTATCAAAGAACCCCCTCAACAGTTCTTGATAATATTTAAAATCAATTTAAAAAGGAACTGTTCAAACCTGATTACATCAACATTAGCCCCTATCAATAGTAAGTACACAGAAAATATTTAATCTGACGTACCTGTATAAAAAGATGAAGTCAAGTCAAATAAGATAATAGAATTAAGCTTGAAAATTATTCAAACAAAAATGGCTTGAAAATAAATTAAATTTTCATGCACAAACTCACCTTCTTGAAGAGCAATGATTAAGTCGTGTGCATGCTGTCTGTAAATTGCGTTGACCAATTGTCAATAATCTGTAAGCTTCATCAGCAGAGTCCACATGAATTTCTTTTAAGCCTATGTGAATAAATTAAAATTTTAATGGGATTTTAAATTACTTTTTGATTAATTTGATAAGTTCATAAATTCAAATTAAATTATTTCTTCAGCTGAAAGTAATAATATTGAGCTTTTGCCAAAATTATTGCTTCAGTGTTAGTACAATACTGTATTATACAAAAAGAAAAAAAATTATACTTTCCTTCATTAATATGTTACTACGAAAATATTTAGTTGACTGAATAGATATATGTTCAGTATGAAAAATGATAACAGTATGAGAATCAATAAGAGATAATTTAATATAATCCGTTACTAGGTTTCTGAAAAATGTAAAAAATAGATGTTTTGAGAATTCTTTTCAAACCCTCGCCATTTAAATATTGAGATATAAATCTGTTTTCATTCAATGTCCTCTTTGAAACAAAATAAGTAGGCTTATGCATTACAAGATGTAACTCATAATCATAAATTAATAGGTTTTGTAAATTTAAGATAAAATAACAAATTTTTTCTTAGGTAGAGTTTTAATAACAAAAGCTTAATTATTACAATCTGGCTGGTTGTTCAGAATAACATAGCAGTGATAACATGTTATATATCATTGGATTCAGAATTGAATGGTCTATTTTTTTATGCCCATCATAAGATCACAGTTAATTAGGTTGTTTTTTATGGCCAAAAGTTTAAATTTTTAGGTTTGCTAAATTTTCACAAAAATGTAAACATACCACAAACAGGTATAACTATAAGCAAAAAAATAAGTGTAAAGTCTTAAGTTCAAATTTTTATTATATTCATCAATGGCATCCATTTGTACAACACATATACAAATTTCAAGCAATTTTACCATTATTTGTATTAGTTATGCCACTTTTCATAATACTTCATATTTTTAAAAAAATAGTTAATTTTTAAATTAATTTTTTAATTTAAAAAAAGTTAAAGAAAACCATGTAAGTACTTCCTAAGAGAAATTCAATTATTATTAGAAAATAATATAAGTGGAGGTGAATAATTTTTACATATTTTTCTAAAAAATGTACCACGTTGGGTACAAATAAACATATCGGTATGAAATATGACCACTACCGTTTTCCAGAAAACTCATTTATATAACAATGGCAGGACAAAATTTTATCTCTATTTTATAAACCTAATAAAGCTGTTCACATTATATCTTTGATGTAAGGAACCATTGCAGTTCTAACATGTCATTGTTATGTTATAATCATTCATAGTGCTGCAGCAGAAACATGAGCATTGTCAAACAAAGTTTGTCACTGCCTGATTAACTCTAAGGAACTAAGAAGAATAAAGCTATAAGATCTTTTTAATTATTCAAGATAAGCATTTTGTTTTCTTCAGATTAAAATAAATATGACTATAGAACAACTATCTCACAGATGCTGCACAGCAGTTTTGAGTATCCGCGCAGCAAGTTTCCATGTAAGTGTGTGTTTGTGTGCTGTAAAATTTTGCACACAAAAGAATTGATCCTGCAAAGCTTTGCACACAACTATATGATTTTGCACATGAACCAAAAAACCTTAGAGGAAACATTGCTATAGGCCCAACACTTGAAAATTAATTAAAATGAAAGAATAAGTCTCTTACCAGTCTTGGCCGCTGTTGTTTTCTTCTACTAATCCTATTGTTGTTCACATTGACATTATTTGTATTTATTCCGAAGCAGATATCTTTTATCCACTAAGATTATCACAGTCCAATCAACTAGACACAGTAGTTAGATTTAGCTTAGCTTACTATAACAACAAAACCATTTATAGTGTTTAGATATTGAATCTGCCAGGGCCAATAGTTCATTTACCGTTGTGTTATTCATGCCAATATTGTGTTACATTTATGAAATGAGTATGTACTACTCTCTCCTTCTTCTTTTGATTATTTATTATGCTTGATCCAGGAACATATTTGCATGCCCTTGCTTTTCATCAGGTACAGATGAATTTATTTGTACCTCCTTATCAGCAGTGCACTCTGTTTTTTCTCACAGAAACTTACTATATAGTTATAAGTATATATGGTGGCCTAAAACAATTTATGACTTCCATTATCCAGTGAATAAACTCCTTTATATCCAGTAACAGATCACACAAGTGGGGCTTGTAGGTTATGAGTCCAATGAATGTTAGAAATTGTGTTTATCATCTCGAATGTTCAGTGTTAAAATCATGTTGGCTTAGTTGCCATAACATTGCAGCTGCAGTTGTTGTGTACATTTACAAACCATCTCCAGCCTTGATGAAAATTGAATTTGAAAAGTTATAAAGGTGAATGTACTCATTATCTTGTCTTGTTTTGAACAGGTTTCAGTAGTTAGCTCAGGTCATATGACAGGAATAGCATTGTCATGATGTTGGGTTGTCACCACTCTGATACTCTGAAATTTTAATCAAATATAAGCATTACATATAGGCTTAGGTCTTATAATTAAAAAAAAAATACTGAACAAAACTAAAAACATTATTCAATTAAAAAGAATAAAATTCAAAATTAAGAGCTGTTTTAAATTCAGCATAAAATATACACCTAAAAGTGATTGCCTCTTCTAAGCGTATCCAATGTAAACAAAGGAAGTTTGAAATTTCAAACATATATGCCTATGAAAAAAAAATAATAATAAAATATACAGTTGATATACTGGAATAATAAATGTTTACAAATAAGCTTAAATACTTAATTTCAATAATTATTATGTCCATTGTTACAGTATATCAATGTAAACGTAGTTTTTTCCCCTAATTCCACAAAATGTTGAGTGCGTTTTGACCCGCCGTAACAAAGAAAAAAATCTTACCGTTGATAGCAAACTTTCGATCTGATGTAAATATAAAAAATCATCAGCAGTCATGTCTTCTTGTTTTTATCGGACTGGTATCATGTTTTGACTTTAAATATAATCAACAACGTTGCAAGATAAATTCGGAACCGAATTTTTCACAGTGAGTGCAACCACCCTTTGCCGAACTTTTACAGGATTGGCAATATGGCTGACGAAAACAGCGTCATCAACAAAAAAGAACCATGATGCTGGGGCTAATATTTTTAATTAAAAATCTAAATTTACGCTTAAAATTGATTTTTTTTTTTAAAATCCCAAAATTTGTATTTGCCCATTAAAAATAACTATGGTATGTAAAAATGTTATTAAAAAATCAATTAATAATCCATCGACCAGCGAATGGTCAAGACAATGTACCTTGAGAGTTAAATAACACATATATAGAGCAAATATATATATATATATATATTTATGAGTTCAGATAATCATTTTTTTATTTAAATTTCTAATTATTATTGTAAAGACACCAATGATTTGATGAGCATGCTTGACAATTAGGGAATATACAGTTTAAGAAAAGATGATGTGATTATTATAAAATTACATTTTTAATAAAAAAAGAAACAAAACTAATCTCCAACACAGATTTTCATCATTCTATGCCTCTTTTTTTTTTTTAAAGAACCAATTACCATTACCTTTAACATAAGGATTTCCATTTCTGTCATCACATATTCTTAAAGCTGGACGTCTTGAATTTTTCTTGGTGGGAAGAGGTTCTAGCAGATCAAAAATCTGTTCATTGTAAATCTCTGCAAAGCTAACCCAAACACAAAATAGAATTTTGCCTTGATCCTCAACTTCAACTTTTAGTTGCTCACGAGCTCGATTTTCCACATCTTTTAACAAATTCTCTGCACAACCAATGGTACCTGGAAAAAATACATTTTTGTTAATTTTTAGTTTTGAAAAGATTTTTATGTGACAGGGTACAACTTAATTAAGATTTTAACTTAATGCTTTATATTTATTTATTATTTTTAAAGTTTTAAAAATATTGATAAGAGACATATACAGAATTTATTTTCTCTACGGTTAAACCGGTGAATAGCCCAAAGTCTTGGGACCAAACCAAAAGTAGGGCTATTTGCAGGGATGGTGCTTTTTTTTAGCCAGAATGATAATCATGCACAATAATTTGAAAGATGGAGAAACATGAACATTGAAAATAAGAATAAATGAGATAACCAGACCTGTTTACTCTCACCATTTTGGAAAAATCATGTTTTGTCCATCAGAAACCCTTGAGGTGGTGTGTTGGCATATTTGCCAGCGTCAGCTTTTTTTAAAAGTTTGCTATTCACAGGTTTCATTGCATACACAGCAAAAAAAAAAAGGATCAAACTGAATCAATGGAAGTTCTAGTAACTTGTAGTCCTGTGAAACTAGTCGACAAACAGACCTGAGCCAGGACAAAATGATCCTCTGATAAATTTAAGGTCCCAGATCAACCCTACAAATGTATGAAGTGCCTGGACACATTAAGATTGAATCCAGCCCGAATGACAGAATCTCCATTAGTAACTTTCTGACACATTGAATGTGAAATTAAACATCTGTGAGTGGAAGGATATACAGAAGGATGTACTGGTTGGGAAGAAAAGCCATAGACTTAAGTAAAATCAAGGTGAAGAAATAAAGAAGAAAAACATATGAGCCGGAGCATAGTCCCATTTACTTGGACAAAACCAATGATAAGATAAAAGTGTATATACAATCAGAATTCTAGTCAAATCTGGGATAGCTTTCTCACTTACTAGAAGAGGCAGAATCAGATAAGACTGACTCCATTTCATCCCCCAGAAGAGTCATCACAGTTGTATCCTGAAAATGAGAAATTACTTATAATTATTACTTAAAAGGGGTATAAATTAGAATAGTAAAAGCATAATTTTTAAAGTTTAAAGTTCAGAAATATATTATTAAGTTTGTGAAATTTGTTGACACTAATTGAAGAGGAAGCTACAACCTGTTATAAAAAAATTACTTACATCATCAACACTCATCCTCATGGTTCTAGCTTTCACCTTTTTCTCAGCCATTATTTCTTCGGGTGTTAGCCGGGAGACATCAGTAAACATCAAAGGCTTAAAAGCGAGTGTCAATGTCTGCTTACCACTAATAGAATTGAAGATAACATCAAGGCATCGAGGTAGAATACCAGCATCCTGTGGCATTCCTTGGTAAAAAAAAAAACAACAACAAAAACAATTTAGTTTAAAAAGCAGATTCAAAGAGTTTTATAAAATTGTAATGTAGATTCATTAAACTACAGCTTAGATTCATTAAACTACAGCTTAGATTCATTAAACTACAGCTAATATTTGCTTTCAAGTGTGATAAAAAATGAATGATCAGTCAAATTTCTGAAAAGAAATAAAAATTATAAGCAATTTATCAAAATATAAAAATCTAACCTTGAATGGTATATGTCTTGCCGGAAGATGTAACTCCATATGTGAAGACTAGCGAGTTCTGACCACTGATGAAATCTTTTGTCATGCTTAACATGGTTTCATTAAAAAATTTAGCCTGGGTTGTATCCTCCCCAAAAATTTTTGAAAATGTAAATTTGTGAGAAGACTTTGCTAAACCTCTTTTCATGTTTTTGTAGGTGTGACTTAACACAGGTGCAGTTGCCTCTATTGTATTTTCTTCTGTTGTCACCACAAAACATTTCTAAAAAAAAATAAAATAATTCAATATTTGCTTTATAATGAAGAAATATTAAAATTTAAAATGAAACAAAAAGTAAGTAATATGTATATTTTAATTCAAAATTTCATTTATTTATTAATGCAATTCAATATAATCAAATTAATTTATATCAATTAGAGTAAAAATATATTCTAAAGGTAAAAAATGTATTAATATCAATTTAAAAGGTTTGTCCAACTTAAATTACTTAAAACCTTTGAATAAACCCCTAAACAAACTAGGTAAATACTGCAAAATTGTATCATAGGGAACACAATTTAATTCTTGAAAAAAACCTAAGTTAGGCACCTGACTGCTGTCTTCCTGTTTGCCAAATGGTTTTATGCGGAGGTATACTTTCATATGACCCTCTGGTTGAGAGGTCATACAAATTGATGCTCTGTTGAAAAGATCCACTAATTTTGTTCTAAGCTTTTTCTTGGGGACTTCTTCGTCTCCAGACTTTTGTTGGTCTGCATTATCGAGATCTGCGAAGCTTCGCTTGCCACTTACATCCATGACAAACTCTGTTTCATAAGCAGGAATTTAGAATTTAAAACAAATGTTAAAAAAAAATAATCATTTATCGATTTGGTTGACTAATGAATTATGATTGCTATCACAAGGCCTAATTATTACAATACTATTTTTAATAGGCTAATCAGAAAAGATTAGGTCTAGTGAGTCTTTAGATTTTGAGTAGCTCTATTTAAGCCATTGCTATTTCTCATTTGGATATCTACAGCCTTGGTCCTATACATTACTTAGGGTTGATCTGGGATTTTAAAAAAAAATTCTTTTTAATACCTGCAAGATAAAACAAAAGTAATACTTCTATTTTTATTGTGCACAGGAATTGAGTCCCGCCAGGAATGCATGGGAATGACGTTCCTATACCTTAAATATTTTTTTTGCTGAGATATTTTTCTATTTAATTTCAGGGTTGGGAGATATTGAGTAAACTCAAAACTGTTTTGGCAAAGTATTTAAAAAGAGCAAAGCATTTCTTGATACTTGATGGTCGTATCTGGCCACACTTCTTAAGTAAAACGCATCCTATATGTTATTTAGGGCATACCCCCACAGGGGGGCCATTTGTATTTTATAGGAGTAGGAGGACATAAAATAGTCTATAGGACAGTGGCATGGTCATGGTATAAGGAGGTTGGAAATGCGGTCCGTCCTGTGACTGTGAATTTTAAGACCTAAAAAAAGAGAGCTAATTTGAAATAAAATATTCTTTTCCTAATAATTTGTGTGGTTTTTTGGGGGGAGAGATAATATTTTATGTGATCTGGTGGGGCATGGGGTAAAAAAAAATGAATGGAAAGCCAGTGTATCACTCCAAGAAATAGTTAAGCCACAAATAGTCAACAAATACATCACAGAATCACATACTGTGACATACATTGGTCTTGAAAGTTGTCCAAGGCTAACCACTAACCATTACTATAACGCTATCACAGTGATTGTAAATGAAAACACAAAACGAAACTGCTATCCCTATGACTTTAAAGTAAGTCTTTTAACAATAATTGGCTAATGTTGAGTATCATCCCGGTGAGGTCATTTGCATATTTATTATAGTTGCAGTGAATTAGGGTTTAGGTTAGGTTGAGGGATCGATTTAGAATTTAGGGTTCAGGTTAGGCATAGGGATACATATTTAGTTTCGGTTTAGTGACAGAATTAACTGGCTGTGTCAACCAAGATAGTGGAAACCCCGGGGAGATTTCTCAACATTTACCCAATAATTAAATATTGATTTCACAGTGAGAATTTTAGGTTACAGTAGGCTTTATTAGATGTATTAGAGTGTCAGAAATTCGGGATTATTTATGTTCTTTCTGCCAATCCCCCTCCCTTCAGTCTTCAGCCATACAACACACGTCAGTACCCAGTTTTTTTTTCTAGTAAACTACTAATGCTGCCTAGAAGCTACTAATGCCAATACCTCTCTAGAAAGCACTAGAACTAGAAGCTATTACTTAAATTACTATAATTACTATACTATTCAATCAATACTATTGGGACGACGTACAGTGTACAGTCTCTACAGACAGTTGACTACGACTACAGATACAATTAATTCTGATCCTGGTATATCAAATTTAGTATTTAGTATTTGTTATTATTTTTTAAACTGTCTTTGGACTTAAATGATTAAATGTATTGACTAACTAGGCAAGAAGACGAAAAAGTAAAATTTCATCCAATTAACATTTCTTCTTCTTCTTCTATATCTTAAGGGCCCACGATCAATTTATTGATCATTTTGGCTCCTATGCATGTAGATGGGATTTGCAATGTTTCTGTTACTGGTGGTGATGAGGAAATTATGCACATTACATTACAATATGATTACACATTATCTTAACTCAAACTAAACTGTAATTCGTCTCTATCATATCAGTCACTCAAGTCATTGACACTCAGCACTGTCACTCACTGTGATTACTGTGAACTGTATCATTATCATCAGTTGGCACTGCGGCACTGATTTGGAAAATAATTAGAGTTGAAATTTAGTAGGAATTTACATAAAAAGGTCGAGGGGTCAAATTTGACTATACCTAGCTATTTATAAACTAACCTTATTCACTTCAGTCAGTTGGGCTTCTTTTTTTTTCAAGGAGTCAATCAGAAAGAAAACAATACACAAAATACTTGCTAGCGCGATAGGTTTGGTTTGAAATATCCAGGGAATCCCAGTTAACCAATGAGATTTATTTGCCAGATTTATGTTCATTTGCGTTTCCTAAGCATTATCACAATGACGTTCGTGGTATTATAATAGAAGTAAACCATTTGCTGTTGATTAAATTTAATAAATGTATCAAAAGTTATGCCTATTTTGCTATTTAAAATTTAATAGTAACAAATAAACAAACAAAATTCAATCTCATTGACTATATTTATTTGAGTTAACAATAGGCCTACTTTTTTTTTTTTTAAATAGAGCCCTCTTGCATTGATCATGAGGCGAGAAATGTTAAAATCTATCAAATGTAATGAGTTTTCAAAATTGAACTAATTACGTAATAATTGCATTTATAGGCTACAATTTCCCCTTTTAATTTTCTTTGTTAAATACCAAATGAACTTTTATTTTTATGAGCTCTTCCTATTTTAAACCAAAGCAATCTCTCTCTCTCTCTCTCTCTCTCTCTCTCTCTCTCTCTCTCTCTCTCTCTCTCTCTCTCTTTCTCTGTGGTATATCTCTCCCCCCCCCCCCCGCGCCAATTTCCCCTTTTTTTTTTCTTTGTTAAATACCAAATGAACTTTTATTTTTATGTGCTCTTCCTATTTTAAACCAAAGCACTCTCTCTCTCTCTCTCTCTCTCTCTCTCTCTCTCTCTCTCTCTCTCTCTCTCTCTCTCTCTTTCTCTGGGGTAGACCTTTCAGCCGACGCCACGCGCCGAATACACCGCCAAATTTTCGTCCGCCAAAAATCCGCCGGAAAATATGCGGCGCGCCGCATTAGCCGCCGCAGTTCGTCCGCCGTTAATCCGCCGAAAAATGAACGAGTCGCCGTAACGTAATGTTTTTGCTTTCTTAAATTTCATGGCGTTCCGTTTTGAGGTATCAGGCATTGAGTGACAGAAACTGAATGAATGGAATGCATTCATGCACTGTATTTGTAGGACAGCATATAAAACTTTTTTTTTTCTATTGTTTGAAATAATACAACTTTTTCTGAAGTATTGTAAAAGTGTTTTATTGCTGAAGTTTTATTACTTCATTATTGGCCAGGCTTCAGCCGAATTTCACCCAATATTTCGTAATCAGCCGAAAATCAGCCGCAAATGTCAATTTACCGAGAAATCCAGCTAATCCGGATATCAGCCAAAAAATTATGTCAGCCAGCCAAAATTTAAAAAACAATTCGGCTGGCAGGTCTACTCTGGGGCCATCCATAAATGACGTCACGCAAATTTTGCAAATTTTGACCCCCCTCCCCAATCGTCACAAAAAGTTAGCCCCCCCCCCCCCTTATGTAATTCCATTCGTCCGCTGCTGTCCTTCATAGACCCTTAAGAAATTTACCTCCCGTGGATATCAAATTACTGCACCTGTGTCAGAAACATTTCTCTAGAACAGTGGTTCTTAACCAGGGTTAAAAGTACCTCCCCAGCCATGAGGTGTGGAAGACCACAAAATTGTATTCAGTGGCGTAGCTAAGGGGGTGTGGACCGCACCGAGTGATACCATCTCAAGGGTTAAACCATCTCAGAGGGTGACACCAAATTGAAAAATTGCATATTTACAGAGCACACACTGCTCGGTCTTACCGAATTTCTTCAAAGAATAACAGATGACACTTACATTTTCCACCCATGTAACCAATCAAAATGCGTGTTTTATTAAAATTTCAAGGTTGATGCGTCAGCAATTAGGTTACCTTATTAGGCCAGAACATGTCAAAGTTCTTAAACAAATTTACTTTCTGACCTTCAATTAATTTTTTGTTGTTCGTGTATTTGTTATACTGTCGACTAAGTTTAACAAGAAGATTACATCTTGGAAGTCGGGAGAGGGGCCACCTTACCGGACCCGGTGACACCAACCTTAGCTACGCCACTGAATTTATTTGCTACCATTGCGGATTTTTTTTTTTTTAAAGTTGTTTTGCATTTTGATTAGCAGCAGTAAATATTTTTCTGGTGAATTTTATTGACGCATTGCGTGTATTTTAATTTTTTCCCTTGTTTATATAAAGTTAATTAAAGATTTAAACTACGGTAACTAACTTATTTAATTATTTTTAATTTTATTACAATATAATTTATACGGTTGGTTTAGGGGGAGGGGGGTTGTTTAAAATGGAGTGGGCCTGCAATGCTGCAAAAAAAGATTAAGAACCCTTGCTCAGAGCCTTAACTAAGTTACTCCCGAGAACCTTTATTTTTTTCGCTCCATCCAAATTTCACGCGGTAGGTCTAATTCTATGATTCCCGCGTCCAGATTTAGCCATAAATTCTCACGACTGTCATTGTAACTACCTCTCGATTGTCCTGCTTCTTGGCGTCATTTAACTTGATCAGAGGCCATTCTGCGGACCCTTACCAACAACAACCCTAGCTACGCCACTGATTTAATTTGCTGCCATTGCTAGTTGCTGCTTTAACAAACAAAAAATGTTTTCATGCCTTTCGATTAGCAGCAGTAAATATTTTTCTGGTGAATTTCATTGGCGCATTGCGTGTATTGCTTTTTTTTTTTACCCTGTTTATGAAATAAAACTACGATAACTAAATTATGTAATGATTAATAATCTTTATTACAATATAATTTATACAGTAGGGGGAGGGGTGTTTAAAACGGAGTGGGGCTGCAGGGCTGCAAAAAAATAAAAAGGGTTAAGAACCTCTGCTCTAGAGCCTTCACTAACATACTCCCGTGAACCTTT